GGGCATGGAGGAGGGCGAGTTCTCCGAGGCCCGGGAGGACATGGCTGCTCTGGAGAGGGATTACGAGGAGGTGGGAAGAGACTAGGGAGAGGAGTACTGAGGAGTTTTAATTTACTTTGTTGTTTTGTTCTGTTCAACATTTTAAAATATAATCTTTCAAGTTCATCTGACCGCTTTAAAATGTTTAAAATTTATTGTTCTTGAAGTTCCTCCTGTTTTTAAAATGTAATTTTCACTTTTTGTTTTTTTTAATGTAACCCTGTTCCACCTTGTTTTTGTTTTAAAAGTTCAATAAAAGTTTTTTCCTTCATTTGACAGACATTAAGTTTTCTGAGGCTCAACATCTGAARGTTTCCATCAGAACTTTAATTTCTGGTAAATTTATTTAGCATAAAGTTATAGTAGTTAGCTAAAACCCTGAATTGGATAAACTGGAGCAGAAACAGTTTGATAAAATCATTACATCTTACATTAAATTTAAACCATGTTTTGCTAAATATTTATTCAGATTTCATTTTTTATAAAAACTGAAAGAGAAATAAACAGATCTGGATCAGAGTCTGATTGTCTGATCCAGATGTTTACACCGGGACCCTGCAGGACCCTGCAGGACTCTGCGGGACGGGTTCTGCAGGTTCTGTGGTTCCTGCTGTGAGTCAGAGTGAGGAAGGCTCCTCCTCTTCCTCCTCCTCCGCTCAGGGCGGGGTTCTGGTTCGGGACTTCTTGGTTCTGTTTCTGAGTTTTGACTCTTAAAAACTTTTCTCCGCTCCGCAGTTTGTTAATTATCCGAACCGAACCGAACCTGCGGCATCATGTCCGGCGTCGCCTCCACCCTGGCCAAGAAGCGGGCCCTGGCCGCCGGGTTCGGAACCAACTCTAACGCYGTTCGGTACCTGAACCAGAACTTTGAGGCTCTGCGGACCCAGTGCCGAACCTCGGGCCAGCTCTTCTGTGACCCGATGTTTCCTGCCGCGCCCGAATCTCTGGGCTTCAAAGAACTGGGCCGGAACTCCTACAAGGTCCGAGGAGTCACCTGGAAGAGACCCGGGGTAAGAACCGAGACCGGACCGGACCTGGATCTGCTCAGATGAACCCAGGACAGCCAGGTTCTGAGGGYTTTGTCTGAGCAGAGCCAGGATCTGGACCCAACAGAGTCCAGATTCTACAGAACCGACTGGGAACCTGGAACCAGGTGAACCGGTCCATTCAGGGCCTGAGGAGGTCAAAGATCAGAACCAGAACCAGCTCCCACCTGAGAAGACCTTCAGGTCCAGAATTAGAAGATCTCAGCTAAACCCGGTCTAAGGGAGGGGGGCCAGGTCCAGGCAGCTCTGCAGGACTTGTGAGGACTCTGAAGGACTTGTGAGGACTCTGAAGGACTTGTGAGGACTCTGAATGACTTGTGAGGACTCTAACGGACTTGTGAGGACTTTGAATGACTTGTGAGGACTCTGAAGGACTTGTGAGGACTCTGTAGGACCTGTGAGGACTCTGAAGGACTTGTGAGGACTCTGAAGGACTTGTGAGGACTCTTTAGGACCTGTGAGGACTCTGAAGGACTTGTGAGGACTCTGAAGGACTTGTGAGGACTCTGTAAGACTTGTGAG